TCGTCTCTGTTAAGAACACTCGCTTACCACTTACATTCTGATACGGAAAACTTGGTTTCTCGTCATTGATCCAGCCGTAGAATGGAACAGGAATGAACAAAAACAGTATCATCAGGAAAACAGCAGCAGTTATGACACCCATCGGTTCAGGGCTAGAAAGTAACAATTAAAACAAGACTACAAATTTAGCAAAATCTTACATCAGTTCTTTCGACGTTTTACAAAGGTCAACACCGCACATCTTCCTCTGAAGGAAAATTTGCCTGAACTCCTTCATGAGACTCTGACAAAGTACGGCACCAAGTAAACTCATCACAAAATTTGAAGCAATTATCGTGAGGTACGAAAGAGCCATGGCACTGCTGAAAGATTTCAAACTTTTTACCGAACGCTCAAACAGGAACGAATAAAATACCTCGCACAAAAATTTGTCTTTATATGAAAAACACGTATTTTACTATGTGGGTACAGTACACCATGCTGCAGAGTAAGATCAACAGGATAGATTGAATTTCATAGATATAGCGTATGCGTTTACAAATATTTACAATCAATCTGCTGACAGAATGTAGCGTACGTTACTTATTGTCAGCAGTCGTTTGTAAACACGGAGCTATTTCAGCAGAAAAAAAATCTGTCAATACATGATACAATCTACGCAAATAATCAACTTTACGGGAGTTCTATGCTACAGACGCAGCTCCAGAATACCATACAGCGATTTGAAAACTGTCTGAATCCACAAAATGGGCGCCATTGCAGCACAACAGAATTTCTGTACACCTGGGTCAAAAACGCGCAGCTCGGTGCTGTGAGCAGCAAGCAAGGTAAAAGCGCTTCTTCAAGGGAATGTGCTCTGTCTTTTAAACTTTTACAGCAAAGAATTCTACCCCTGGTAGGTCTGCCGTCGCGAAGATAACAAAGATTCGGTGTGCTTGCAGAACTGGTGAAAATTTTCAGTTGCGATGAATCGGTGTGATGTCCCTAACGGACTGCGGCCTATGGAAGACAGACAATTCTGGAGCCAGAATTGGAACGGTGCAAACGGTTCATAACTTCAAACGTAGTATCGTTAGTATGTATAAATGCGAAAATCTTTTCATATTGGACGAGACTTGCTGAACCTTTGATGATTAGATTTGAGTCCTGCAATTCTTTTAACAGCAACGTGTGACATTCAGCCTCTAATTCACCTAATCCTCATTTATGTTGGAAAAAGCGGCAACTAAATTTATTCTAATGCCAATGAGTGTAAATTTCGCCGCACGAAAGCATTCTCGACTTTGGAGGGAGGGGGGTTTTGTATGTTTGACATTGAAAACTGATATGATGCATTGATTCCTTTCCTTGAGGCTAAGTGTAATTCTGGTCAAGACTTCTGCATACATCCGATTGGGTGGTATTTTTCATAATCTTTTTTCTGGTCACAAATGCTTTGCGCTCGAACCATTACTTAATCTTAATATTAACAACAGAACTCCGCCATGGCCGGTCCCAAGCCCGGATGAGAAAGGAGGAGGGTTGGAGACCGTGGCAAGTC